AAAAGCTTAAAAAATTGCACGAGCTTAATAAGAGTCCGTCTTGATCAGAACCAATTGACAGGAAATATATCTGAAGGCTTTGGTGTTTATCCGAATCTTGATTTTATGAATATAAGCAACAACAACTTGTATGGAGAAATCTCACACAACTGGGGACAATGCCCAAAGTTGACAACCCTACTAATGGCAGGAAACAACCTTACTGGTAGCATCCCACCTGAGATAGGAAACGCAACCCAAATTCATGTGCTCGACCTTTCTTCAAATCATTTAGTTGGGTTGATCCCAAAAGAATTCGAGAAGTTGTCTTCATTGGTGAGGCTGATATTGAATGGAAATCAACTTTCGGGTCGTATACCGTCAGAATTTGGATCATTAAGTGATCTTGAATATCTTGACTTGTCAACCAACAAATTCAATGAGTCAATTCCAAGCGTTATAGGTGACTTGTTCAGATTGCACTACTTAAATTTGAGCAACAACAAGTTGGCTCAAACAATTCCATTTAAGTTAGGGAAGTTATTTCAATTGAATGACCTGGATTTAAGTCATAACTCACTTGAAGGTAGGATACCATCAGAAATGGGTAGTATGCAGAGTTTGGTGAAACTTGATCTTTCCCACAACAATCTTTCGGGTTCCATACCATCAAGTTTTGAAGAGATGCGCGGCTTGTTGTACGTTGACATATCTTACAATCACTTGGAAGGTCCCCTTCCCAACATCAGTGCATTTCGAGAAGCTTTGCCAGAAGGATTAAAAGGGAACAAAGGATTGTGTGGCATAGTTAGAGGTTTGCCACCCTGCAATGCACATGGCTCAAAAAAGGACCACAAGTTCCTATTCTCACTTCTAGCAGTAATTGTTTTTCTATCTGCTTTCTTTACTATTGCCTTTGTAATAGTGCAAAGGAAGAAGAAGCATCAGGATAAAGCACAAAAAAACATGCATGAAGAAATATCCTTTTCAGTTTTAAATTTTGATGGAAAGTCAATGTATGAGGAAATCATAAGGGCAACAGAAGATTTTGATCCCACATATTGCATTGGGAAGGGAGGACATGGAAGCGTCTACATAGCAAGTTTGCCATCTGCCAATGTAGTGGCTGTGAAGAAACTTCATATGCTGCAAAATGACGAGAAGAATCTTCAAAAGGAGTTCTTAAATGAAGTAAGGGCACTCAC